GAGGTCGGCGACCGGCTTATTGATGAAATTGAACTAGCTTTTACGGAGGAAAGTGAATTACCTCACGTTATAGAAGCTAGCGAGCGCGATGACGCGAATCCATGGCTACGTCGCACGCAGTGGGCTGTCTATCTCCGTGGAATCGACCCGCAGCACCTTATTGACTGCGTCCACGCACCCGACGGCGATTCATCCGATCCGACTGAAATAGCGGCAAGTGCTATATGGGATGCAATGGCTGCCGTCGCGAGAATTAGCCAGTTGATTTGTACTAAAACTAGCCATACAATTCGCACCGAAGCCGTACGTACGGAGCGCGACCGACTACCGCACCAGCCGCTGCAAGCTTACATGGATGCCGATAACATTGAGAGACACACCATCCTGTGGCAGCAAATTTTGATGTTTTTCACTCGTACGCAGGCTACGCATAAATGGGCTAGTCCAAATTACAAATTTACTAGGCGCCAGCGCGCTACGTGGAACTCGCTTTAGAAACTAGCCCAGCCGGGCGTATCACCTAGGTCAGCCACGGCTAGTTCAGCCACAGCTAGTTCAGCTAGTTCAGACGATAATAGCGAGCATTCAGAGAGTGAGCATTTAGAGAGTGGCACCGAGAATCAGCCCACGCAGCGAATTGCTAGCGAATCACTAGCGAATCAGCAAAATAGCACCGAATCCCCGTTTTACCTCGCACCTATTGATTCAGCGTGTCTCAATTTTTGCATTGAGCTATTGAACCATCGAATTAAGGTCGAGGACTATAAGAGCGCGCTAATTTGTGCCACGGCAGTGCTCGGCCGTGGAGAGGCAGGCTGGCGTACGGCTGAGAGCTATCCACCTATTTTATCAAAGCTGATCAAGATCGCTCGCTTTATGGTAGTCCACAAGGCTTTGAAATTGGATTCTACGGCGGAGGCAATGCTATATCAGCTAGCGGAGCATCAAATGGTAGGTGATTGGGATACCGAGAGTCCGCTAGATTCACCTGAATTTCAGACATCAGAGGATCCATTTTACAATTTTGAAACTGGCCCAGTTTAGCCACCCACGGCTAGCCAGTCATCTCAATTTATTGAATTTACCTAGGCTTAACGGCAGACCTAGCGATCATTTAGAGAGTGGGTGGCTAAGATAGTAAGCCAATTCATGGTCCGTGGAACAAATAGCCCAATTTAATGGTTATTAGATCTACGGACTTATAGGTTAAAGATCCATTATAATAGCACCACGACGGGCCACGTCGGTTGGATGAACTAGGACCAGCTACTTTACCAGCAATTCAATTTCACAATAGGTGACTTCCGTGGGTTCATCCACGGGCTCACTAGCTTAGCACGCCAAATTCTCCACAATAAGCTATTATTTATAGAAAATGGGTTAGTTCCAGCTATTCTATGGCAGGCAATTTACGACGATCCCACGGAGACAGCCTAAGGGTAGAATTTCTTAAAAGACACCCGTACCCTATGGCCCGTGGTCGGCGAGCAATAGTTGATTAGTCAGGTCCGGCAGCATGGCCCCGTACGGCAGCGATTTATCGAGAGTAGTGCCGGTCGTCTATATATGGCAGCAATTGACGTATACCTCTAACGGGTAGCGTATTTCCGTGAGAAGCTTGCTATTGCTATTCACGTGAGTGGTGGCTAGCCGGCTCGCGCACCCGAGCTATTAAGTATCCGGTATTGCAATACTGATAGCGGGGGCCGTCGCAACGTATTTATTGAGGACGGGCTCGTTACATTCGTCTCACAATACCATAAGGGGTTTTACGCATCCAATGATACTAAGGTGATTCATCGCTATTTACCCCGTGAGGTAGGAGAGCTTGTGGTCCATTATTTATGGCTAGTATTGCCATTTACACGGCGATTGGAGGCGTACGTAGCGAAGGTGCGGAGATCAGATGGCGTGGAGGAGATCAAAAGGTGAGTTTTTTCAATTTCTTTAATTTCATCAATTTTTCAATTTTTCAATTTCATCAATTTCATCAATTTCATCAATTTCATCAATTACTTTTGAATTACTTTTGAATTTTTACTAATTTTGGACTTAGTAAAATGCGCCAGGCTTACCTCTAGGGTCCGGATCCTGGCACTGGCCGAGATTGGTCATCCGATAGACTCCGTGAAGTGCTAAAGCGAGAAACCACTATTGGGCTTAATGGTCAAGCTATTCATTTGAACGCTTACCGGGATATTGCTATTGGCATTAGCCGTCGCTTCATGCGGCCATCTAGCGTATTTCCCAATAATACGCAGCAGGACGTGCGAGCCGAGGCTTCACAAGAGGATGACGAAGAGGGCATGAATGCTGAGCAATGGATGGGTCACATTGCTGACCTCCAGGCGGCCTATTCATCGCACGTTGCCGGCATGATCTACGGTCGTGGCATCACTAAGCAGCCCGGTACGACGGCCCACCGGCGTGAGATATTTCGGCTTAGTAGCACCGACTGGCATCGCTTTTTAGGCTTTGTGTCCACGGATGACGGGGGTGCCGAGAGTGCATTAGGACTGGCCTAGTTTTCACCATGGTAGAAGGAAGCTGAAATAGGTCGGACGGAGCGTCGGTGGCAATTGACGCAGGCAGCGATAGAGCCTAAGATGCAGCGTATGATAGGTAATAGCGAGCTACGCCTCCGAGGGGTGCAAGCACCGGCATTAGAAGCTATTTAGCAAGGCTAGAGCCCGGTGGTGGCCGTCATGCCAACCGGGGGTGGAAAAAGCTTACTTTTCATGCTTCCCGCGTGGATCAGCCCCCGTGGGGTCACGGTGGTAGTAGTGCTATTAATTGCATTACGGGGTGATATAATGCATCGATGCCGGCAGCTCGGCATTTCATGCGTGGCGTGGGAGAGCCGTCGGCCGGTAGACCAGGCATCTATTGTGCTAGTGACGCCGGAGTCAGCTATTACGGAGGATTTCATGACATTTTTGAACCGCCAGCGGCTATGCCATCGGCTAGATCGCATTGTGATCGATGAATGCCACGTCGTATTGAACGATCAGACCAATTTCAGGCCCGCCATAGCTTAATTAGGTCGATTACTCGTGGCTTAGGCTCAGATAATATATTTAACTACCACGCTGCCACCGACGGCCGAAAACCAGCTATTTCAACGTCTACGTACGTCGCGAGAGAAGGTCTATTTATTTCGGTCACGCACCCATCGCATGAATGTCGCGTACCGGCTATGGCAGCCCACGGTGCCGAACCAATACGCCAATAGCTACCATTAGGTAGCGGACCCCAATATAGTACGATTTATTAGAGATCGTATTACGCGCGCGCGTGCTTAGGCCGGCCGAGTGGTCATTTACGGGCCCACCACTAAGGCTATTGACAAACTAGCCCAGTTAGTCGAATGTGAGGCATATCACAGTAAGACGATCGATCGCAGTGGCGTACTAGCCCGTTTCCAGGCCGATACCACGGGGGTAGTGGCCGCTACTACTACACATAGTATAGGTGTCGATATACCCAATATTCGCAGTATTATTCACATTGGGTTGCCACGCAGCTTATTGGACTACGCGCAAGAGAGCGGCCGTGCTGGCCGAGACGGGCTTCGCAGTGAGGCTATTATTGTTCAACCCCACGGGTTTTTACAGCCGAAATGGGACCCAATTCATGAAGACCCCGTGAAAGCTCACGCGGAGCAATGCCGGCTAGACCGATATATATCTCTAGACTGCTACCGACGCATCATACTTGACGAGTATTTAGATAGCTATCAACGTCAATATTGTGGAGAATCTAATGATACAGAGCAGCGCTGCGATAGGTGTGACGAGCATTGGCAGGCAAATAAAGAGATAGTAAGTGAGCTAGGAAGTGAGCTAGCACGTCAGCTAGCAAGTGAGCCGGCACGTCAGCTAGCAAGTGAGCCAGCACGTCAGCTAGGAAGTGAGCCAGGAAATAAGAGAAATGGCCCACTTTGCAATACATCATTTCAGACGTCCGATCCCATAGTTTTATCCCATGTTTTGAACCAGCCAGCCGACGGCCGTACGGAGCAACCCATAGAGGATATTCAATATAGCCAGGGGCCACCGGAAGTGAACCGATTAAATAGCGATTCGGAGGCGAATTCCCAGCGAAGTGAGAGTGAATCCGTCGGATTTCGGTCCCAGGTCGGATCGATAAGTCCGATTTATCGCCGCAGCATTGAGCCACCAGGTAAGAGACCACCCATGGTATAATTTCAATGCTAAGGAAACTAACCGATTCATTGTTAATAGAAATAGCTAATTTGACGCCACGGCAGCTGGCCAATTCATTGCAAGCACCAATTACCCATTCATTGCAAGCACCAATTACCCATTCATTGCAAGCACCAATTGCCAATTCATTGCCAATTAATAATTCGACGCCACGGGAGCTGACCCATTCATTACCAACGCGCGTGACCCGTCTATTGATCCCCCCGCATGCAATTGACTAGTTCCAGCGGCTAGACCGTGAGAGACAGGTAGTCCAAGAGGTAGATCAGGCAAGACATCAAGATATTGCCACCGGGGTCGAATTTTTATTACAACAGGCCCAGATATGGATAGGACGATGCTAGTTTTGTACTCAGCGTGGGCTTGAAGACCAGCATGATTTATACCAGTGCCGGGCTTAGACCTAGTACGGCAATAAATCACCGAAAAGCTGGTGGATACGCGTACGCCGGCAGATTCAATTTGCTAGATTTAGTGCTTATTACTGGTGTGGCATGCCGCAGTCCATTTGCAGTCGATTCGCGTATACCGGTAGGCAGGAGGATTATACGTATCGAGGCTTATTATTATCGGGGCTAGCAGTGATAGTATACGGCGAGGGAAGTGAGGTGATAAAGGAGGCGTGGGCTCGGAGGTTAGAAGGGCTCGGGGTGTTAATCGGCAATAAGAGCGAGCTCGTACGGTATTTAGGGTCACGGCATGACGGGGAGACGGTGAAATTGGTACATAAGTATATATGGGTCCGAAGGAGGTAGATAGAGTATAGAGAGAGGAGTTAATATAGTGAGAGTATTAAATAGCGTTATAAATTGAATTTAGGGCGAGAATAGGTTATTTGAGGTGTAATAGGTATAATAGAGAGGTGAGGTGTAATAGGTAGGTAAGGTGTAATAGATAGGTAGGTAGAGTATTATAAGGGGGGGTTAGTATAGGGGTGAAGGTCCAAAGTGAGGGGGGGTTATATAGTGGTGAAGCACCAAAGTGAGGGAGGGTGGTTTAGGCATTAAGAGGTAAGGTATAATAGGTAAATTGTTATAGTAGAGGTGCTAGGGTAAAGCATTATAAGGGGGGGTAGTATAGGGGTGAAGGTCCAAAGTGAGGGGGCATAGTATAGGGGTGACGCACCGAAGTGAGGCGGGGTGGTTTAGGCATAGAGAGGTAAGGTATAATAGAGAGGTTATTATAGTAGAGGTGCTGGCTTAAAGCATTATAAG